TAAAAAAGTTTATATAATTAACTACTAACTAACAAATTCTATATAATAGATTCATTATCATGGCCACTGTACTGGAAACTAAAACACCAAGACAAATAAATTTGCAACTTGAAATCAGATGAAAAATGTGGTCTTGATTACAATAAGTTTCTTTGTCTCAACTTTCTAACAAAACTTCCAATAAACCAACCCAACCATACCTATAATTAGTTAGGGGCACAAAGTTTGCAAGTTTTCCACAATCTGGGTTATCCTCAAGAGTCTGTGTGTCAAGGGCAACCCTCCATACTTCTCCATCATGCCATACAACAGCATCTATGACAGGCCCTTTGTCATCATAGCTCTAGAAGACAAAAAATTACTACCATTAAGAGTTGCATAGGAATTTATTTTTATTTTGTTAAAATAAATTTTGCACTCACATCAGCTTGCTTTTGTAGGTAATCAACTCTATTTTGCAGGTCCTCCCGAGCTCTTTTCAAGTTAACATCATCCAATTTGCTGTGTTTCTGAAAATGGTAACAGAGTAACTTACATATTTAGGAGCAACATAATGCAAGCATGCAGGAGACTACTTGTGCTAATCATGTATTTTGAGGGAAGCAGCTGGAAAGCTTTACATAGAATTGATCAGATTATGGTGACCTGTGTTAGAGATGCTTTCCAACATTAACACATGTACATTTCAAATGATAGATAGCAGTTAAATCCATCCCCTTTCTACGCAGGTACAGTATTACAACAAACTAACTTGAACAAGAGGGTTTAAATACTAATAGACTGAGAGGCCATTTCCCAGTGAAAAGAAAACAATTTTACATGAAATTGGAATAATAACCATTTTCATTTAGTTAACACCTTCAGTTGAGTTTTTGGTATGCTTACATAAAATTAACAGCACAGGATGAAGTACATAAGTCATATTTATTCCCAGTAAAGAAATTAAGAAGCATCATGTTCAAAAACCTGATCAAATTCTTGAAGATGTTTAACAGCCTTGGCAATTTCTTCTTGGTTTTGTTTATCCCATTTTTTCCTTCTTTCTCTCTGTCAGTGAAAACATAAAAGCAAAAGAGGGAAAATTTGTCATTATCATCTGAAGTAATGACAGAGACTACAAAGAAAATCCGAATAAACAAATCAATGGGTCATAATGCTCACCTTCAAGCGAGAAGTCAACGTATCCGTAAATAGCTCATATAGCAATTTATAGCCGACACGCCATTCACCGGAAGGATTTTTCCATGAAGAGTTGACAAACAGAGATGCTCCTGTATGAAACTTGGCATTAAACCACACATGGCAATTTTGAAAACAGGGCTTAAGATGGCTGCATAAATTAGATAGTTCTTTTCTATAAGCTAAAGATGTCGGTATAAACTCCGAAACCTGGTCAATCAAACATATAAACACAGGCTACAAAGTTCAAGAAACATAAATACATGCATACACACAAATAGATCGAGAAACTAACCCGAAGCTCCACAAATACAACCATCGTCATCGGCCTTGACTACCCTCGAAGTATCAACATCACCACTCCCGGTGCTGATAAAACAGAAGGTATCAGATTAAATCAAAGGTTTTAGTAAATACCAATTATTTGCTCAGATAAATTAGTTTAATCATAGTTACCAATCAAGAACATCTAGGATTTTCGGCTTTCCGTCTGACGTAACTTGTAATCCAGAAGCAGCTGGATCCACTCCAGTATCTGATTCAAAGTTTCAGTTCAAGTTTCAACAGCTTAATTTCCTCAGCTCAGAAAGTCAATCCAATACTTTCTTCTTCTGTCAACTAATTTCTAAACTAATTTTCGTAATTACGCCTAATCACAACTATAATCACACGCTTCTTTCTTCTTAGATGAATCAAACAGAAAATATAAGATTAGAATTAGAGCAATTCTCCTTTCTATAATTTTCTTAGCTTCCAAACAGAAATTAAGCGATTGAACTGAACAAGTTACCGAAGATAGCGATCAGGGCGCCGCGGCCGTCGTAGTTGGGATGCGCATCGATGAATCGATCGGCGCCAATCTCTTTCTTCGGCATGAGGGAGGCCAAGAACGTGGACTCGTTGAGCTTGAAATTGCTCAAAGCACCATTACTGTCCCCACCGCCTCCGCCAGCACCGCCGATTGCAGAGCAAGGCATTTCCCTCACCCTACCACCACTGCACCTTCTGCTGCTGCTGCCACTCCACTCTCTCGCTCTCGGTCTTCTCGCTTTGCCGAGCTTTGTGTGCGTAATGATGGGTGAGACAAAGAAATGACGAATGATGTAAGAGTCGCGACGAGGTCAAATGCGGTAATCTGAATAAAATAACAGGATTTTGCATCTTAAATTTAATAAGGGCGGTTTGGTAATTCGGTTTGCAAAAGGCTGTGGTGATGTGGCATGGAAAGAGAGAAATTTTTCATTGTGACCGGAACACGAATGGTATACCACATGTTTTATAGAAGTGGTGGAAATTTTTATTTTTTAAGTAATTAACTTGTTAACACGCATATCCCACCATTTGTATAGTGACATATGGTGTACCATCCCTTATTTTCATCACAGTGAAAAATCTCTCATGGAATGCGGCGAATTGACAGTTGTAGAATCTTTATAGCTTCTCAGCTTGGATTGGGAGAAATCTTTTGTAAGATCTCACATCGTCCAAGGGTGAGGATTCTGTAAGCCTTATATGTATATTATCATTTCTACCAAGCACCCTTTTGGAAGCTCACTAGTTTCGAATTCCATTGGAACTCCGAAGTTAAGCGAGTTCGTGCAAGAGCAGTTCCATGATGAGTGACCCATTGGGGAGTTCTCGTGTGTTTTCCATAAACAAAACCGTGAAGGCGTGGTCGGGGTCCAAAGCTGACAATATCGTGCTACGGTGGAGTCGAACTCAGGATGTGATGGGGCCCTGGCTGGGATGTGACATTTTTCATTGTGACCAAAACACGTGTAATATACCACGTAGTTTTATAGAGGTTGTGAGAAATTTTATTTTTTAAATTATTATCTTTTTAACATATATATCTCACTATTTGTATAATGACACGTGATATACCATTATATGTACCGATCACACTGAAAAACCTCTCTTGGATTGAAAGATTTTGTTGGACGTCGAATGGGTGGCAAGGTTATCGTGCGTGCAAAATTACTTGTTTGTCCTTGCATGGATTGCAAATGATGGATGGGAGCTTTCTTTTTTGTTGTGTGAAATACCAAGGAAGCCCTTGAAATAAAGTATTTTCAAGAAATCTGGTGAAATTAATTTTCAATTAAAAAAAAAAAGCAAAATTTGACGTAAGGGGAGGAATCTGATATAATTTTTGTGCATGCGTTAAATATCTATTTTCAATGCAAAAGATTCCATGCCTCGTGGGTCATTTTTCTAATAATTTTTTGTCTTGAACGGCTGAGAGTTTGCGAAACTTTCAACTTATAGCAAATGTATTGAGTTTGAAATGTCAAGCATATAAACAAATCGAAAATTTCTATTATTTTTCCATACATAAAACATATCAGACGAACAGAGAGTTTGATGAACAGCTAATAGTTTAACGCTCAAAAATAACAAAGACTTGAGCTGTAAGAGGGGGAATTTCCTTGAAATTGAGTAGAATTGAACGATAAGACATATGATATGAAAATTTTACGTATGGTTTTGTAGAGTGAGAGTAAACTTCAATTGTTCTATTTTCTTTTAATTTTCAACGGCGTGTTTACTGAATAGTAAGAACAAGTTCAAGGGCAAATTAATCACTTCATTGTACAATCCCACTAAAATCCAAAAACCATGAATAAAATGAGGGACAAAACCTGTGGAGCAAAAAATAATCACAAAATGACACGTGAATTTCGGGACAAAAGAGGACAAAAATACATTTGAGGTACAACGGGATTCCTACGCGCGAGTAGCGGGCAATCATCATCAACCAAATCAAAAATGCCCAAAATAGGTAACAATTCGAAACATATTCCATATATTTTTTACCTCACTTTCCCTCTTTTAGCTAATCAATTAGCTATCATTCTATAACCTACAAAATATTCCACATAAATTAAGCTAATTGGCTAATTAATGAGATTATTACTTAATTAATCCATTAATTGTCAATTAAGCTATCCATTATGCCCAAAAAATACGCTAAAGACCGGTTACCCTCTCTCCCAAGGGAACCGGCCATTTCCTTCATCTTTCCACCATATCCTTCCTTTTTTGTGACATTGATTAGTTAACCAATTAAGCCATTATTTTAAATTATACCATAAACTCCCAAAAACATTCCTTTTATTACGTTAATTAGCCAAATTAATATATTAATGGCTAATTAAATCACCAAGTAACACCCAAAATGTGCATAAAGGACCGGCCACTCTTCCTCCAAAGACGACCGCCCATGCCCTATATATTGGCTCCCATTCTCACCAAAAACCTAGGTTCACACTCTTGCTAAAATTCTAAAAAACTTTCCAAACATTTTTTCTCTCTAAATTCTAACTTTGGCATCGGAGGTTCTTCGGCCAAAGCCCCCCCATTCATTGTGGGCGCGTGAGGCTCTTGGCATTGACCCTAAGATGTTAATTGTTTTGTACGTGCAATTTTGTCCAAAAAGAAGGAAGAAGAAATTTGCATCTACAAAACCGACAACGCACTATTAATGAACAGTAGTCATCCACCAGCTTTTAGAAGAGTATAATTTGAGCCAGATAAATGTTCAAGCCCAACAAGAATCTCGGGTCAGATAATGTTGAAGATTCAGATTTGAGCTATGGGCCTCAAGCTCTTTGGAAGGCAATTTTTTTCATCAGAAAAAAAGGGAAAATAAAAAATGAGGATGAGCACTCCACAATCATCCATTTGAACAAAAACAAAATAAAACAAGTGGTCATTTACGACAGTGATATAAAGATGTTGAGTTTTTGTATGAAGACGTGATTTTAAATTCCGTTTATGACTAATCTAATAAAATCTATCATTTAACAAAAAACAAAAACAAAACAAAAAATAAACGAACTTATAATTTATTGGTGAATTGAATCCAATTGATATGAAAGAATATTTGCTTTTCTTTTTCCTGTTTTCGAACAAGCTATGCCATGTATGGAAAGGGATCATTTTCGGATCCCTTCCATCGAATCATCTAATTCGGACCCTTTAATCAAACGGTTAAAGTTATTATAAGGGATCTCATGTTTGTAGTCGTTTGATCAAATTTCAATGATCCAGATTGATTAATTGGGTGAATTTGGTAAAAGGGAACCAGAGAAAATCCCTTTCCGCCATGTATATCACTTTGTCTCCTTCTTTGGGAAAAGCCCCTGAAGACCTTTGTGACCTAGCTAATAGCTTGTAAATCTTCTTAAAGGGCCTGCAATATATATATATATGTTTTTTCGAGTCAGATCAATGGAATTAATAAATAAATAAATAAGGTACGGGAGAATCTCGGATGCAATGTACGGTATGTATATCTTTGATCATGTGATGAAGAAAACTAATATAAAATATATCCCGGTTGTATATTAGAATCTCTCTGCAATAATGCCTCAATCATGATAACGTTAACTACCTGAGTCGAAGGTATAAGGTTATGGCAGGTAGTGTCACAAGGATATGGGCAATCAATTTCCCTTGTTACTGTTCTGCTGAAGTACCAATCACCTACTGCTTCTGCAATCGTCTGCAAAAAAAAAAAAAAAACCTCATCAATCCACAACCTCTACCAAAACCTTCTTGCATTCTTAGCATATGAAATGACATGGGCGACCCCAATCCGATAAGGTTTCTCGCTTTGCGAGAGTCGGGAGTACGCGACCTTACCCTTCGTTTAAATTGTAGCATATGAAATGACATGAATCTCCTTAAATTGTGGAAATATTAACATTAATACCTTATTGTGTACTCTTGGAGAATCATCACCAAACCATGTGTCTTGAGACTCGCTTTGGCAATGAGCAAAGCATGAATTGAGGAAAATCCCTCCTCTTCTGGAATATTTGTAGAACAATCCCATCGCGACAATCATATCACGCCTGAATTCTGACGATTAAGAGAAAAAGAGCGATGATTCAGCTACCGCAGAGTCCGTGATCGCGCTTTGGTTAAGGAAAATGATGCAACTTGAAGGGGGAAAAAAGGAAAGAACTGAAGAAGAACCTTGCAATGTATTTAGGTGGTCAGGATTGCATTCTGCAGGATTCAATTTGCAACGGTTCCAATGTCCGCGTGGATCAGCTGAAGGCGGAACCAGTATGTGATGGAACTGTGGACAATACGAGGTCCATTAATTGCTAAGGACTGTTTATGTGCATCATGTGACGAGAGATGCAGAGAGAAAGGAGGTATGAAACATATTGCAGCTAAGTTTCACGCCTACTAATTATTTCAAAATTTATACCTGGTAAACGTCATAGGCTGAGTTCAATATGAAGAAAGGTGTTGTGATGAATTTCAGTGCATACTGTGGAAAGAAACACTGCATCAAAACATAGCAAATGTTAAAAACCAGGTGATTAACATGCATTAATCGGCTAACAGCTCAACGATCAATGCTACGAAAATCTTACCAGCTCGGGATAAACGGAATTCTTGGTACCGTTCTCCTCCAGATTCTTCTCTACTCCCTGCCTTCCATATAATAAGAACATGGAAAATATAGAATAAAAAAAAATTTTGGTTTATTTCGGCATTAGAACTTGTTACCTGTAGAGTCACAAGATCTATGGTGTGGTTCAAGCTTATATCTCGTTTGCAAAAAAATGTGACGCCGAAAGTGGAAGATATAATGATACATGCATTAACTGCAAAGTACTTTGGCGTTGGAAAATTGACGTAACGAACTTACTCATCGAGAAAGAATCCGGCATCACTCAAGCATTTTACACTGGCGTTGCTTGGTAAGTATTTGGTGAAGTTGTTACAATGCAAAAATGATGCTAAACCACCAGCAGAACAACCTGATAAAAGAGCCTAGAAAACAGATGGAATGTGACAAAGTAACTGAATTCGGGTGTCTAAGTTCGTGTAAAAAATGCCAGAAGAATTTCTCTGATCGATCAGTGTTACCTTACGCGCTTGTCCTAGACCTTTCGGCAGAAGATCAAGGATGATTGCTTCCCAAATCTTTTGCCCTCTGAAATAGAGCAACGATGTCTGTCACAATCATTTCACACGAGCATTACGTGCAAAGAAATGATCAGTTAAGAATGTGGGAGGGAAATAGTTGTTTAGAGATAAGTACCCCGTTATTAACAACTGCATCTCCAGCAAATGAAGCTCCATCACAATATCTAAGCTTCACTCGGTTCCAGTTGTAAAATCTGGTTCAAAATTAGAATGTAGCGATGTACATCAAGCTTAGACGCTCCCTGACGTGCATAACAGGTAGAGGGAACCAATAAAAAAAGAAAGGATCAAACTCAATGCCCATTTTTTTAAAAACAGGAGCACGACGACTAGTCCAAAGCTTAAGTAAGATAATAGGCCAATAATATCAATATGTATCAAACTTACGCGCTCACTCACATAGAGATACAAACTAGTAAGAAAAGTGAGATTGTTCGTATTCATGACATGGGAACACTGTGATGTGGCGTTTTGTAAATATGTTTAGACAAAACGTCTTTATTTCATTAGCCTCATCTTGACGGTGTTTTTGTGCCATGTAAGCCGTTCTGCATAGTCATGGGACATGCATAGGCCAATGTGCACTATGGACTATGTTTGGCATGGCCTTAAACAGTCCAACAACAAGAGGAAATGACAAAACTAGAAAGAGGCTGGAAGGATGGTCAGCTAGATCAGAAGCTACCACTGAGAAAATAGATGTCATCTCTATTTTTTTCCACGTGATCGGGACAACAGAAAAGCAAAGGATACATGGACTGTCTGCAAAAAGTGATTTTTTTTTTTTTTTTTTAGAGACGGATTAGGCAAGATTAGTTATTCGTTAATAGTTATGTGCGAGGCACCAACTCTTTCTCGAAAAAGAAAGGAACTTTGCACCCAGTAACCCCCCACCCGTCCCCCCTCTACTAGAACTGTCTGCCTAAAAGTTAATATTATTTGGGATTAGTGGTAAATTATGAAATAAGTAATGCAGAGAGGCTCGCCCCTCTCTTAAGCTGTATGCCAAAATATATAGACCAAATTATGAAAAAGCAGCAATAGTAGTATAGCTTGTAAAAATGTGATGCCAAATATGGACCACAAGATATGAGTAAATAAAAGAAAATTATGGCATGATTGTCTGGTTATGGCAGTTCTCTTATTAAGTAAAACCACAAAATATAAGTTTAGTTGAGAAAAATTTGAATAGAATTGTCTAATTATAGCAATTTAAACATGAGTAAGACTAGTGTGAAGTCGAGTGAGACTAAAATACATAACTCTAATGCTTTCAAGAAAGACATCTTACGTGATTCGACATTCATACACAAGTTTTTGTCAACTAAATCAATGACTATTAGTTAAAGCATGCATTGAGGAATTGAAGATGATGTATATATTATACGGTAGTGTTATCCACACATGCATTTTTATTTCTCACAAACTTCTCTCAATTTTTTGTCGTCAAATTAAATGAATTAAAGAAGATCAATGATAAAAAATTAAAAAATATATATATGAAAGGTAAAAATAAATATGTGAATAACACTTTCGTGTATGTATACCTGGATTAAGAGATGCATTATTGCTGAGAATTCCAGAAAAGACCTTCCACTTGCTCATATAACGTGTTGATCCTCTTCGCGTGTTGGCTCTGTCCGAGCATGATTTCACATCATTGTACCACCCTCCACCCTAATCCAATTAATCAAACGGCTATGATTTAACATCATGGTTTATGATTATCAATGCAAAACTTCAAGCTTCATAAGGTTTCTCAAGTGATCACAATTATCACAAACAGTGGCGGAGCCATAATTCTGAATGAGGAGGGGCCTTTTACACACTTATATATATATATATATATATATATATATATAGGAATTGCTTAAGGGGAGGGATCCCCATTTTTTCAAAAAAATTGGGACACGCTCCCCACCGTTGGATTTGAATTAAATGAAATCCTGTGGTTGAGATTCTATGGCCTATGTTTTAATCTCAACCACACAATTTCATTAAAGTCAATCTAACGGGGGAGCGTGTCCCCTTTTTTTGAAAAAATGGGATCCCTCCCCTTAAGCTCCCTATATATATATATATATATATATATATATATATATATATATATATATATATATATATATATATATGAGTGTGTAAAAAGTTGAATTCATAACATGTTGACATATGTAATTTGTGTAATTCTTACAAAACTGAAAAAATTCTCTTAAATTCAATACTAAGAAGAAAAAAATGTAAAAAAACCCAGACAACCAAGTAAGAGGTAGGTTGTGGAAGGCTAAAGAAAATACAAAGAAGTAGAAAAAGAAGGAAAAGGGGAAGATGTCTGCAAATAAAGAAGGTGAGTTGCTTTAGAAAATTATAGGGTGTATATTACTGTTAGGTGAGAGAATCGAACCAGAAGTGAGGTTGCTTTTTCCATTTAAAATTGCACATCTCTTTTAAAACTTCCCTACCAAACTTATCGTTTCATTAGACAGTAGAAAAGATTTAAAATCAAAACAGCTTAACGACGTCGTTTGCTTCATCTTCTTCCATGAGGTTCACACCTCAGATGAAGTCAGGATGGGCCGGGAACTACCCTAGTCCCTTGGTGGCTCCGCCCCTGATCACAAAGTAGAGACCCCAACGAACCCCTTTTCTAACAACAACTCGACTCAATACCTATACAACTGATATAACGAGAGGAATGACTAAACTCGTAACTCGAAAATAAAAATGAATACTCTTAACTAATTGACATCGCCACACTAACTAATCATTGCGATTTGTTTCTGAATCGGCGACCGACAAAATCTATCGTTGCTTTTAGCCAATGAAACAACGCCACTGACAAAAGTGCGGCTGAAAGCGCCCACGGGTGGTGTAAGTTGTACATTACATGGTAACGTGCACAAGACGCAAGACGAATACAACCGACGATGTCGTACTGGTTTCCCAAATTTAAACTTTCACTCTCAATTATACGCTATTAACTTTAATTATCACTAATAAAAGTTTTCTTTGAACCCATATAATTATAAAAAGAGAGTTACCTCGAACTGCAAAAGCCAGTTTCTTGCTCCGGCCCCGAATCCTCTGTGCAGGTGATACGCAGGCAAACTCCCATCCAAGCAAACTAAATAAATAAACATGTTTAAATCATTCTTTTACTACATAATTACAAGTTTTTTAGTACAAGCTCCGAGAGCGGAACCATCCCGGACAAAGGTCATGTTCACCGCGAGACGCCGCTCGTCGGAGTAAATGCGCTGACGAGCGCACGCTAGCAGAGCCACCGTGATGGCAACCAGGACTGCATTTACATGCATCATCGTCGCCGTTATACGCTCTCTCTTCACTAACATTGATTTTTCATAGCCAAACGTGAAACTTACTGTATATATTGACTACTCTGGTGACGAAGATGAAGGTGCTTTTCGTGTTAATGGTGGAGCCGTGGAGGACCTGAAGGTGGTGGGTTTTATAAGCCGATGGAGAGGCTGCTTGGTGGTACGTTACGGTCATAATTCCCAAGTTGGATTGTGTTTGTGGAGCCCACCCGCCCGACTTGTTTGTGTGATGGCCCTACTGACTAAATGCATTATGATTTTGACGGTGGATGATGAACCCGTGATGAGTGGTTTGGATTGGTTAAGAACGGTGAGAATGTGGGTTGGTTTTAAATGGAGTCTTTAATCTTGGATTGGTTAGAAGTAAGTTAGGGTGATTAACCACTTTGAATTTTGGGGGCCAATTTGTCCGTGACAAGTGTTTTCAAGTTTGCATGCCAGAATCTGTGTTTAAGTTGATTAGACGAGGAATGTTAATGAGATTCTCTCAAAAATTGAGATATTTTTTGCGTTTCATTTTTTTGGCATAATTCTTGTGTCGACATTATAAAACATTATGTAAAAAACATAAGGTAACATATAGTTCATGAAAAGTTTCACTTTGAGAGAGTCTTCTTAGCAATTCTCTGATTAGAAAATTGTGTTTTGGGTTTGTATTGTAGTTCGAGTCTCGTTCTTCATGGTTTGCATACAATGATATTTGATTTAGTAAGACTACGTTCCCATTTTATTGGCAGAAATCTTGAGCTTGGATTATAGAGACGGAAGCTGGTGTTACAGAGAGAGAAGAGAAGATTTGGTGATTATATGGTGATGATTATTACCCACCATGTCTTTATTTATACAATGACTTCTTTTTTTTTCATTTGTCGATGGTTCAAAATCTAAATCTTTATCCTTATTGTTATTGACAAGATAAAACAAGTTTTGGTGATCACATAAAATCGATATGAGCAAAATCGTTGATCATGGTGTTTTCTTGTGAAATAAGAAATTAGGTTAAATGGGTAAATTTTGGAACAAACTAATGAATAATTAGATCTAAGATTCTAAGATGATGATCCATCATCTATCAAGCCTCAATTATTAGAAATAATGATAATGATGACTTCACATGTGGTTTGCAACTAACATTCTCCATCTTTGCATTTATTTTTCCTTAATGTTGTTTAATTGCTTTCGATTAGGATGTGACATATTGACACTAACATTAATCCTTGAATTCAATTATCTACAAAATATTAACTACAACTGGGTGGTTTAGTGGTTAATGACGAATTACAGGTCCGTACTCCACACAACACGTCTTGATTCGATTCCTAATGGTAGTCGATCATAAGATGATGCCCAATGGGAGGCTGAAACGCCTCTGTGAGTTTTCTCGGCATCCGAAAAAGTGGGCTACTGTAACAAAGCCACCAACTGATCCTTCTTCTATTTGAAAAAAAAAAATTATCTGAAAAGATTGAAATATAGTTGATGTTGTACACCAAGAAAAAAAAAGTCTAGCTATTGTATGAAATGTATATTTTTCTTCTACAGCCATAAGTTACTATACGAAGCTTATTTCTTCATTTTTTCTAAACTTCGTTACAGGGAGTTTATGGTCTAGATGATTAAGAAAATTTACTCATGACACATCTAAGATTTTTGTTTGATCTCGCTCCCCTATAAAACTCGTCGCAAATAATAAAAAATAATAAGATGATTAAATGTAAACATCTTTTAAATCCGATAAAAATATTAATGAACAATTTTTTAAAATAAAATAAACAACTATTATTTTTTGTCGGAGTAAGCAACTTTTGAAAGATAATGCTATTTACACACTCATTTTTACCTATAACCATTGTTCTAAAAATATCCGCCTAGCGCTACCTAAGTAGCTAGGCGGCTGGCCACCGCGCCGATTAATGCCTAGACGTTTGAAAATTAAGAAATGACGCCTAGACATGCTGAGGCGCCAGCCCAGACCGCTTAGGCATCTGCTTAGCCTGCTCAGACCCGCTTGGGCATCCGCCTACGTTGTGACTCATTTAGACAGAAAATAGATAACTTTCATTTTGCATTTTATTTTTCTCAATAAATTGTAAGAGACTTGTTGAATACTTAAAATGAACACATTATATGCTTGTTTCTCATGTTTTCATTATGTTCCAATACTTCATAATATATATGTTATTTTATTTTGTAGTTTATGATGAAATTACATATATTTTAAGTAAAAAAAGACACTTATTTACATGAAATATAATAGATTTACTTAAATCTACCTAATTCACCTAGGTGCCTACTTAAGCCTTGCCTAGCCACCTAGGTGCTAGGCCCCAGTTCGCCGCTCGATTAGCGCCTAGCGTCTTTTAGAACCTTGCCTCTAACACACTCTTGTTATTTTTTTCCAATTATTTTGTTTTCAATTCATTTGATCAAACAACAAAAAATTAAAAAGGCAGTATCATAAGTAAAATGATTACGTGGATAACACTATTTTTTTACAAATCTTATATTGAACACGTCGTAACCTATGAATGAATCCAAAAGACCAAAACTAGGCCCAATATGCCAATCCAGCAATCCCCGTTGTACCCCAACCAACCCAACCCAAAGATTATGTAAAGAAAATTGGAAAATACTAAAAAGATATAATTACATTAAGGCCCCTATATAAGATAAGATCAAGAATACCACCCATATTGTCATCGCCAATTGGGGATCAGTTCATAAAATAGGAAAATTTGTGGGGTGAAAATGAAAACTAGAAAACGCTTCTTACCAAGTGTAGAGCTCCGAGAAAAGAGGCTCGCTTTGCTTTAAACCAGAGAGGAACGCAAAAGTCCAAGGTTAGTCCTCTCAACAATCACTTTGATGAACTCCAATTTCTCATTCCAATTGGCTTAATTTTCTCAGATCTTTAGATATGATTGGATGTAAAATTGCTACGAATACCAAAATTTGGTACTTGGTTTCCTAAATTTACTCATGCTTGTGTTTTTACTTTGGGTTTTGATAAGGGGTTGTTTGGTTGATGGGAAAATGTAGGAAAGGAAATGAAAATTTGACATTTTGAGTCTCACCCTTTGTTTGGTGGCTGGGAAAATTGGGGGAAATGGAAAAGAAAATGTTAAAGATTGATACTTTTGTGTGAGATTGGAAAGATTATTGTTAAAGATTGATGCTTTTTGTGTGAGATTGGATTAGGGTCCCAATTGTGTGTGCAAAGTATCGCTGAGTTGGGATTTTGTAAGAAAGAGATGCAAAACCAAGTTTCTGAGATTTTTAAATCTTTTGCAGAAGTGGGTTAGCCCCGCCTCTGGCATCCAAGTTCGAATTCCCTCGTTGTAGGTTAGAGTAGTATAGAATATCGCCTTGTCAAAAATCTTTTCCTTCTCCCATTGATATAAATATGGTGTGCTGGATATGATTTTGAATTAGGATTCCATTACTTTAAAAGTTGGCGATAAATTCTTTAACATATTTCTCCTTAATGTTTGGCAGGTTGCAGGGGTTTCTCTGCTCAAGTGTCAGACGGAGAAACGTTGCAACTTTGGTTCCATATGCTGTGACCTTTTGTGTTACTTTATATGCGTTGAAATCAAGTTCGAGATAAGAATTGGAATAAATTGCGTGGTTGATTAGTTATGGAGCCTCTCTGGAAGCTTTTTTATTTGCTGGAGCCTGCACCTTTTACTCTAGTTGTAACGGCAGTAGGCGTGACTTTTGGATCTGCATTTCGGGCTCTAAATTATGGGAAAGAAATGGAGAAAAACCATGATTTATCCGAAACATCAATTACGTTAGATAGGTCCCAAGCACTCATGATCCCGGTGATGAGCTCTGTAAGCTTGCTTTTGATGTTCTACTTGTTCACTTCCGTCTCACAACTCCTCACTGTATTCACAGCCGTTGCCTCCGTTTCCTCCCTGTTTTTCTTCCTATCTCCTTATGCAGCCTATTTGAAGTCACAATTTGGTCTTGCGGATCCATATGTGTCAAGGTGTTGTTCCAAGTCATTTACGCGAATCCAAGCCCTGTTATTGCTGTTATGCATTGGTACAGTTGCTGCTTGGCTTGTTTCTGGGCACTGGGTATTGAACAATTTGTTGGGCATTTCCATATGTATTGCCTTTGTGAGTCATGTTCGTCTTCCAAACATCAAAATTTGTGCAATGCTCCTTGTCTGCCTATTTGTATATGACATATTCTGGGTTTTCTTCTCTGAGAGATTTTTTGGGGCAAATGTCATGGTATCAGTGGCAACACAACAAGCCTCAAACCCAGTTCATACTGTTGCAAATAGTTTGAGTCTTCCTGGGCTGCAAATGGTAACGAAGAAGTTGGAATTGCCTGTGAAGATTGTCTTTCCTAGGAACTTATTGGGTGGAGAGATTCCTGGAGGGGCCAGAGACTTCATGATGCTTGGTCTCGGTGACATGGTATGACATCCTTCTTTCAACAATGTAACTACTGTAACATATTATAACTAATGATGGTGTTTCTCTTTTATTGCAACAATCAATATCGTGCTGCATTCATGGTTTTAATTAGAGTTTACCGTGCCAGACTAAGAATAAGGTTACATATGTTAAAAGCATTGTGGGTTAGTCCCTAAATCTAGAGTTAGTACTTTTTTAATGTTCCAGTTATGTTGATTATATTCTATTGGGTCATTAAATTAGTGGTTAATTACTTGATTTGTCTGGGCCTTCATTGTTGTTTTCCGTTCATTTTGTATGTCTACAAATTAGTTGGTTCAGACTAAGTTTCTCATAATTGCAAGCCCTTAAGATTCTGTTTTTTTTTAAGTGTATTATTGCGACATGATCATCATGCATATTCTATTCGGAGTAGTTACTCTTGCCTCAAGCAATTTGAATATTTTTTTGTTAATGTTATATTGCAGGCAATTCCTTCCATGCTGCTGGCATTAGTCCTATGTTTTGATCATCGAAGGAGCAAGGATACGGTAAATCTGTTAGATATGCATTCCTCGAAGGGGCACAAATATATTTGGTATGCCCTTCCTGGATATGCCATTGGGCTGGTTACGGCTTTAGCAGCTGGCATCTTGACAAACTCTCCTCAACCTGCGCTTCTTTATCTGGTAAGTCCTTTTGTTGGTTTTCAAGTTGATTTGTATTATTGCTATTCTCCCATGAGAGTCGATGGATCTTTCCGCTTTAATAGTCTGGTTTATTCAATAAATGGTACGTTTAGCACTAAGCTATGGTGCTCGGCAAAATTAGAGGTGTTTTTTTTGACAAAATCATATCAAATTTGCATTTGGATATGACTGAGAGCTTCCATTAGCTTCTTTGGGGTAGTTTTGGTCGTCAGAGTTCATATAAGATTTGATTGCACGGCTTGAGTCTCGACCATCTCTTTGAATATTCCCGCTTTATTGGTGAATGCAGGTGCCTTCGACGCTGGGACCAATTGTTTTCATTTCTTGGATAAGGAAGGAACTAGCGGAGCTATGGGACGGACCCTTGCCAAACATGAACGATAAAGCTCACCAGATTGAAGTATGAGCCGCTTGTCTGTGCGGCCGCTTACTAGCTCAGTGCTTGCTTGCAGAGCAAAATGAAAGTTGTACATTCCTTGGAATTGACAGTCCTCTGTTCCAACTTGAAAAAGAACTGATATAGGGAATTAGCGATCGATGTTTATTTTCCGAAACCTGATGCTTGAAACATTTCCGATCCAATTCCTTCGACTGGCTAATGAACGAAATGTATGCGTCAATCTTGTCATACCTTGTTACAGAAATCTTCTTAGAAATAAAGAGATCATATGTTTTCTTGGTAAAGCTGATCGAGCAGATGTGTGAATGGGAGAAACATGTGAAAACAGCTCAAACAGAACAACAGAGAGAGAGAAAAGCACACTTCAACAGAACCAGAAACGGCCAAACTAAAAACATGTCGTTAAGAGGACATGCATATCACTGCACCTTTTATCCAGATTTTTAAAATGCTTCTATTGTGATTCAAGGGCAGTGTTAAAACTATCAAAGAAATTGTTGATATTTTTGTCGAAATATTAAAAAAATCAAGAAGCGATATGGAAAGTGAGTGAAAGGCAAACTTCACCCTATATCGGCAGAAGTCATTATGGATTTTGAACTTAAAAAATCATAGAATGATATTTATTGATACAATACATAGATTTTGTCAGAAGCCATTATAGATTTTGAACTTATAAATTTTTTTTCTTGAGAAAATTATCTCTAATTTCGAGTCTCGACTAAATCTAAATATGAAGAATACTCACTCCATTACAAATTTCCATAATTTTCGTTGGATACAAGTAATATTGATATGTCCATCGATATTACTATACATTTGCATATCGATACACTGTTTAGGAACTGGATATCATACCCTCCCAACTTAAGGCCCCCCCCAAAAAAAAAGTAATAGAAAAAAAAAAAAAAAAAAAAAAAAAAAGTTAGAAACGACTTGTAAGGCAACCTGAAACGGTGCCGTCGAACAGCAAACATTTCAGTCGCCGCAGTTGCAGAGATTTGAAGAGAGGGAAACTCTCTGAAGAAAAATTCGAATGGGAACTTCAGTTGAGGTGACGCCGCTGTGCGGCGTATATAACGAGAATCCGCTGTCGTATATAGTTTGTAGGCAAAGGAGAGGGCATTGTGATTTCTCCCCATGTGTCTGGACATCTCTTGGGTGGTACCGTCTGGAAGATAACAAAGGATGGGGAGGATGTTATATATGCCTTGGACTTCAACCATCGAAAAGAGAAGTAATTTTCGCTCTTTTTTTTTAACTGCCAGTGGAAATTTGGTTAATTGTATGTGTACATGATGTTTTGGAATAGAGATTGATGATTTTGAACTGCTTACTGCTGTGATTTTCATCGGGCATTTGAATGGAATTAATCAATCAGCCTTCGTACGCCCAGCTGTTCTGATAACAGATGCCTACAATGCTTTGAACAATCAGCCTTATAGACGCCAAAAGGACAAGGAATTTACAGGTCTCTTAACTACTCTTATGAACCAGGAATTGAAGTGTTTGCTTCTCTTCATTATTTTTGTTTTTCCTGTTGCAGAACATGTATGGAACAAACAACTATCTATATGAGGTTCTTTTATTCTTTGACTGTTAGTTTCTGGATATTATTCAGATACTATAAAGAAGACTCTGCGATCTGATGGGAATGTGCTGTTACCTGTTGATACTGCCGGGCGGGTTATGGAACTTGTCCAGATATTGGAATCGGTAGGGGAGATGAGTGCTGTTTTCTATCCTTGTTACAACAACAGAACAGTTTTCTCTTGTCATGTATGATGCATTTATTAATTTTGGTTCTTCCCATCAATTGCAGTGTTGGACAGAGGAAAATTTGAACTATCCCATCTTCTTCCTAACATACGTTGCATCAAGCACAATCGATTACGTAAAAAGTTTCCTTGAGTGGATGAGTGATGCTATAGCAAAGTCCTTTGAGAAGACACGTGAGAATGTTTTTAATTTGAAGTAAGTGGTCTTTTCTATATATGTTCACTCTTGACTGTTTGAAATTTTGATTCACTAAGTGGAATATTGTTGTTTCTGAACGATTTACTATGTATGTTTGCGAACATTTGCAGGCGAATCAGACTTTTAGTTAACAAGAGTGAACTTGACAATGCTCCTGATGGTCCCAAGGTTTACCATATATACATTAGTATTTTATCTCTAGTTTGCCTACCCATTTGAATGACTTTGACACATTCTTCCAATACAGGTTGTTTTAGCATCCATGGCCAGTTTAGAAGCTGGTTTCTCTCATGATATATTTGTTGAATGGGCAAATGATGCCAAGAATCTTGTGCTTTTTACAGAACGAGCCCAGGTATCCTATATGGACATAACCATCATTTTCAGGCGTTAAATGTTATGATTAGCATTCTAGATTCTTTGTTTCTTTTTTTTGCATTAATAGGCACCATATGTTGATACCTTAGCTGTTTATGTAGTTTGGAAGTTTAGCTCGCATGCTTCAGGCAGATCCGTCTCCAAAAGCTGTTAAGGTTACCATATCCAAAAGGGTCCCTTTGGTTGGGGATGAACTAATTGCTTATGAAGAAGAGCAGAACAGAATCGGAAAGGAAGGAGCTCTAAAGGCTAGTTTGATAAAAGAGGAGGAATCAAAAGCTTTTCATGGGGCTGATGTCAACACGAGTGATCCAATGATCATTGATGCTAGCAATACACATCCTTTGCCGGATGGTAGGTTTGAAAACAATTTCTGTTTTCTGCCAATCTTTTGAACGATGCTTGTAAGCATCTGAGAAACTTTCTTTAAATGGACATATTCTATTTGGAATGAGCGTCAAAGCATTTACTCATTCTTTTGACCTTTGTAATTTGAAGCTTTCCGTGCAAGTTCTTTCTTCTGAGAAGCTTTTGTGATTATTTGTTGCAGCAGTAGGTCCACATGGTGGTGGATACCGTGACATGTTAATAGATGGATTTACTCCTCCTTCAACCAGTGTTGCCCCCATGTTCCCCTTCTATGAGAATAATTCTGAGTGGGATGACTTTGGTGAAGTTATAAATCCAGATGATTATGTCATAAAAGATGAAGACATGGACCATGGAACTATGCCTGCAAGTTTTTATTGTGAATCATCATATTCTTTGGTTTCTTTCTATTTAGATTATTGTTCTTTTAAGTCTGAGTTATTTACATTCTGACTCGGTTTGTGGGGATAAAACATGGATAAGAATGGTCTCATGTCTTAGGTGATGTTGGAAGGTTGACATGAGGTCCTCTGAAAACCATCCTTATTAAAAGTTAAAAGTTGGATGAGGAATATTGTTTAGCATTTCCCATCATTGCCAGATTCTTGATGTGTATATAAGACTAGTAGTGGGATCTCCTCCATGATTCTCCCGGGCATGTTAGCTATATTGCGTGCCATCAATTTTTTTCTTCTTTTTCTGAGAATGTCCACTATGTCAAATTGTTGTCAGTTATTTTTTTTACAGAGATTTGTACATGCCATTATCCTTCATTATATTAACATTTCATCTGCCTCAGGTTGGTGGTGATGTGGATGGAAAACTTGACGAAGGCTCTGCTAGTTTGATACTCGACATGAGGCCTTCAAAAGTTGTATCGACTGAATTGACGGTAAGTAGAAGTCTGGTAAATTAGTTTATAGTTTTATCAATCTTGATATCAACTTAAACTATGTTCTATTCTGGTTTCTTCTCTAATTCAGGTTCAAGTGAAGTGTTCATTGATTTATATGGACTTTGAGGGCCGGTCCGATGCGAGATCCATCAAATCAATTCTTTCCCATATGGCTCCTCTAAAGCTTGTAAGTTTACTAATTCAATCTATATATAATCAGCTCCTGAAATGCAGTCGCCGGCTGTGTCTTTCAGGTTGGCCCGAGACTATTTTATAACTGTCTTTTGAATAATCATTTGATTGTCCAGAAGTGTTTTTTTTCACTTAAACATAAAATTAACCTTATGGTATGGTATGCGTTTTTATTTTTCCTGGAGGTTTTGGTTCACGGAACAGCTGAGGCCACGGAACATTTGAAGCAACACTGCTTGAAACATGTTTGCCCGCATGTTTATGCTCCCCAAATTGAAGAAACAATTGATGTCACTTCTGACTTATGTGCTTATAAGGTAAAATCTTAGGTCGTACCCAGTGCACAAGGCTCCCGCTTTACGCAAGGTCTGGAAGAGGTGAATGCCGGCTAGCCTTACCCCCATTTATGGAGAGGCTGCTCCCAAGTCTCGAACCCAAGAGAGTTGCACCTGCATGAGAGCATCAAGATTTTACCTTATTTGATTAATTTTGCATTATTTGAAATGCAGGTGCAACTGTCTGAGAAGTTAATGAGTAACGTGCTCTTTAAAAAGGTAAGCATGAGAGCATCAAGTTTCACCTTATGTTGTCTGTATCATAATCATATCCTCCTCACCATCTTGATGTAATTTCAAACACAGCTCGGAGATTACGAAATAGCTTGGGTTGATTCTGGGGCAGGAAAGACAGAAAATGAAATGCTATCTTTACAACCCCTCTCAACCCCGCCTCCACCGCATGAATATGTCCTTGTTGGTGACTTAAAAATGGCTAATTTCAAGCAATTTCTTTCCGACAAGGGTGTTCAGGTACCGTTTCCGTTCATTGCTTAATTTCTTGGACTATGGTCCGTCACCAAAATTCGTTCTGTGAAATAATCTCACGTTCTCAACTTCATGTTTTGAAGCCCAGAGAAAAGGTGAAGCTCTATGGAACTATTGTATTTACAACGATCTTGATCTGATTTCCTTGACAGGTTGAATTTGCTGGTGGGGCGCTGCGATGCGGTGAATATGTGACATTACGCAAAGTTGGGGATGCAAGCCATAAGGTTCGTCAGATACAGATATGCTAATAGTATTAGCACCCAAGTTTTTGGTACAACAGTTGCATTTTTGCAGATGGAAAGTCTGACTAGCGTATTTATATTTTTTATCTTTTTTGTAGGGTGGTGGTTCCGGAACCCAACAAATTGTGATCGAAGGCCCCTTATGCGAGGATTATTACAAGATTCGGGAGTATCTCTACTCACAATTTTATTTGCTTTAAGTAGAGATACATAATATCAAACGCCTTCGGATGAACTGTCATTTTTAATTTCTAGTGATTTCCTGAACCACACTAAAGTTTAATTTAAATGTAGGACGTATTTTCCGTTGAAATTGTCAATTCTGTTCATGCATGATGAAAATATTTGAAATAAATTGACAGTTCAAGTAAATCATATTCAAGGAAACAAATCATGTTTGATGAGTTAGAGACGAACGTGTTAACTTCAATTAGTACCAAGACATTACATTAGTACTCAAACAAAACATCACAAACGAATCACAGTTAAACATTATAATTTTTTTATGTGACAATATGCAAGTGAGTCGGAATAATGCGGCAAACATGGCAAGTAAATTACAATGCATTTTTACTATTTTAGGCTGCTTGATTGGTTTGAGATATTTTGCATAAGGCAAGAGTTGATTTCCAGGTGTCAACGTTCGAGCAAAGGAGCTTTATCCATCTCTTTATATAATATGGAAAATAACAATTTCTTAAGCAGACGCATTTGCCCTTTGTCCGATTGCTGACGGTTGACCATGGAAACCTGGTTCCTGATCTTCATCGCCTTCTGCGTCTCCTTCCTCCTCAAACCCCTTCTTTCCCTATTCCTACCCACTTCCATCTCCAAACCCAAGCTCCCTCCCGGGCCCCGCGTCTTCCCCGTCATCGGCGGCTTCTTATTCCTCCTCGAATCCTTCTTGGAGCTCGAGCCTATCATCCGCAAACTCAAGGCCAAATACGGGCCCATCATCTCCCTCCGCCTCGGCTCCCGCCCCTCCGTCTTCATCGCCGACCGCTCCCTCGCCCACCAGGCCTTAATCCAGAACGGCGCCGTGTTTGCCGACCGCCCCCTGGCCTTGGCCACCAACAAGTACGTCACCAGCAACCAGCACAACATCAGCTCCGCCATCTACGGCCCCACTTGGCGCCTCCTCCGCCGCAACCTCACCTCCGAAATCCTTCACCCTTCCCGCATCAAATCCTACGGAAACGCCCGCAAATGGGTTCTCGATATCCTCGTCAACCGCCTCAAAACCGAGTCTCAATCCCACTCCGAAGGCGGCGCCGTCGTCAGGGTGGTCGACCACTTCCAATACGCCATGTTCTGCCTCCTGGTCTTGATGTGCTTCGGCGACAAATTGAACGAAGAGCAAATCAAAGAAATCGAGCATGTGCATCGCCAACTACTTTTGAGTTCCAGGCGGTTCAATATCCTCAATTTCAAGCCGAAATTGACGAAGATTATCTTCAAAAATCGGTGGCGGCAATTCTTCAAAATCCTCGAGGAACGACGAGAAGTGCTCGTCCCTCTGATTCGAGCACGACAAAACAGGGCAAAGCAGGGCAGCAAAACCGACGACAAAGACGATGAATTTGTGTTGTCGTATACTGATACGCTGCTGGACCTCGAACTTCCCGACGGCAACGAAAAGCGGAAGCTTTCGGAGGGAGAAATGGTCAGCCTCTGCTCAGAGTTTCTGAACGGCGGCACCGACACGACTTCCACCGCGCTGCAGTGGATCATGGCCAACGTAGTGAAGTACCCGCAAGTTCAGGAGAAGCTGTTTGCGGAGATTAAAGGGGTGATGGGAGAAACGGAGGAGGAGGTGCGGGAGGAGGTCCTGCACAAGCTGCCGTATCTGAAAGCCGTGATCTTGGAGGGGCTGAGGCGCCACCCGCCGGGGCACTTTGTGCTGCCGCACGCTGTGACGCATGACGTGGTTTTGGGCGGACACGTTGTGCCCAAGAACGGGACCGTTAATTTCATGGTGGCGGATATAGGGTGGGACCCGCAAGTGTGGGAAGATCCCATGGCGTTCAAGCCGGAGAGGTTCTTGGGCAGCGGCGGAGGAGAAGAAGGGTTCGATTTGACGGGGAGCAGGGAGATTAAGATGATGCCGTTTGGGGCAGGGAGGAGGATCTGTCCTGCATCGGGATTGGCGGTGCTTCACCTGGAGTACTTTGTGGCGAATTTGGTTTGGAAGTTTCAGTGGAGGGCTGTGGAGGGAGATGACGTTGACCTGTCAGAGAAGACGGAGTTTACTGTGGTGATGAAGAATCCATTGCAAGCCCACGTAATCCCTAGAATTTAATACGTGGGAGAATTCTGTACTAATTTTTCGATGTACGTTCAACCGCTAAATCCATCAATGTATAGAGGGGTGGGTTCAAAAAACCGAAAATCAAAAATCAAACCGCACCGAAACCGAAAAAACCGAACCGAATTGAAAAAACCGAACCGAATCGAATTCTTTTGGTTCGGTTTGGTTTTAGTGCTCTAGAAACCGAACTAAACCGAACCGAACCGAATTAATTAAATTAATTTTTTATTTAATTATTTGTTTTGGGTATTATTTTCTAAACCCAATTTGTAAGTTAAAATGTGCTAAACCCAATGTGTTGCCAAACTTTAAGCTCAAAATATTTAAAAAAGGCCTATAAAAACTCTAAACCCTAACATATTATTTATCTCCCATATAAGGTTCTGGAACCAAACCTCCTCCAGAAGTACTTACATCCATCTCCATAGCACTGCCTACTTCTGCCATAGCTTTCTTTTCCAAATCTACTCTCATATAACATGTAACAGAATCCATAAACATTTATTTCGGGTAGATTACTTGGGTAATTTGTGATGGAAAAGAATCTAACACACACTAAATAAATCTACCCACGCATTATTTTTACTAATCAAGTTGTCAACATGCAATTACAAGCAAACAACCTTGATCTTTGAACAACATCATACAATTTAACTTTTCTAAGTCATTTGTACGATTTTTGTGAGGTTGTTAGTTTGGACTTTGGAAGACTTGATTGATGATTTTAGTTCAATTTTAAATGTTTATTTTCATTGTCTTTGATTCTAGTTAGAATGCTTATGTTATGATTGTGTTAGATATGTTAAAATTTAAAATTTCAATGTTTTTCATTTTTTGAAAAAAAAAAACAAAAAACCGAAACCGAACCGAAAAAAAACCGAACCGAAAAAAACCGAAAAAAAAATGAACCGAACCGAACTGAACCGAAATTTCGGTTTGGTTTCGGTTTTGGCAAAAAACCGAACCGATTTAAACCGAACCCACCCCTAAATGTATATGCTCTTCATTGATTATGCAATTTCGAAAATTTGGAATTTTAGTTTACCAAGTGTGATTCAAGACAGATTTTATAATTTTAATATTTAGTGAGTGATTTGAGTGAGCTGTATTTGCTACCTTGATTTTACACTTCCTCCAGTTTGCATATATTCAGGCAAAAAAAGTTTTTCAATCTCATTTTCCACATCAATGACATCATGAATAGTTGTATTAGATGTGGGATACTTACTTGCACTAACTTTCAAGGTTATAAGATAGAAGACCTTCAAAAATTCCACAAACATTTCTACACCATTCCAATCTTCCTCCTTAGGTGGTCCAACCTTCCTTTTACTCGCCACTTCTTCTCCTTCATCATTAAGCACATTTTTCCTGAAATAGGTGGAGTATATATTGGCTTCATCATCTTCGGACATCCTTTCAAATGCTTTTTTAAACTTCAAGCAATATTCTAGCATTATGTATGTGCTATTCCACCTAATAGGCACATCCATAACAACTAGACCCCTAATATCCAACTTCTCATTCTCCACACATTTCTTGAAATAACTAAACCTTCGGGGACTTGATGTCACAAACCGCACGACATTTCTAAAAACATCCACACTTGTATCTAATCTTTTCAACCAAGTTGATAATATGAGCTAAGCACCTCACATGCATAAACTTGTCATTCATAATAATTTTACTATTAGGCTATTTCTGCATTTTTCGAACAACATACTCAATTGCCACCTTATTAGCCGATGCATTGTCAACTGAGATACACATTACCTTTTCAATCTCCCACTCAACCAAACATTGCTCAATCATCTTCTCTATTTCTTTGCCTTCATGACTTGAAATCAAACAAAAGTTTAGAATCCTTTTATGCATATTCCATTCATCATCCACAAAATGAGCAGTGAGCACCATGTAGTTCAAATTTTGCACACTTGTAACGCCCCGTCCCGAATTAATTCTTTAATTCCAGAAATAATATTATTAATATTGATAGGCCCAAACTAAACTCCACTTTATTTAGCAAATTTTAAATCACAAATCTTTATTTAAATAACTCATTCACATACAAAACCATCAATATTAATTAAAAATCAAAACGTATAGTTACCTTACCAAATTTATGTACTAAAATTTATTTATTATACTTTATAAAAATTTCTTCATTTCCAATATGATTCATAAACATTATTATTTTATCAACCACACAATTATAATCTCAAGATATTTCCATTTTCTTTCAATTGATCAAAGTTCTCAAAATAAGAATAATTCTCAATTAAAGTGAAATTCTCGATTATTTAAGGCCGCATCTAACACTGTTAGACTGCCTACGTACCCTGTAACCGGATCAAGCCTTTCGTAGTTCACATTTCAAAAATTCAACCAAATCCCGAATATATTCAATTAACAAACGATATTAACTACTGTATTTACAACGATCTTGATCTGATTTCCTTGACAGGTTGAATTTGTTGGTGGGGCGCTGAGATGCGGTGAATATGTGACATTACGCAAAGTTGGGGATGCAAGCCATAAGGTTCGTCAGATACAGATATGCTAATAGTATTAGCACCCAAGTTTTTGGTACAACAGTTGCATTTTTGCAGATGGAAAATCTGACTAGCGTATTTACATTTTTTGTCTTTTTTTGTAGGGTGGTGGTTCCGGCACCCAACAAATTGTGATCAAAGGCCCCTTATGCAAGGATTATTACAAGATTCGGGAGTATCTCTACTCACAATTTTATTTGCTTTGAGTAGAGATACATAATATCAAACGCCTTCGGATGAACAGTCATTTAGTCGCGATGTTAATTTATAGTGATTTCATGAAACACACTAAAGTTTAATTTAAATGTAGGACTTATTTTCAGTTGAAGTTGTCAATTCTGTTCATGCATGATGGAAATCTTCGAAACAAATTGGCAGTTCAAGTAAATCATATTCAAGGAAACAAATCATGTTTGATGAGTTAGAGACGAACGTGTTAAATTCAAATAGTACCAAGACATTACATACGTACT